TGACGCTGAGGCAGAACACGGTGAAGACCAGCGGAACCCTGATATCCCCTTCCTTCTCCTCCTCCATTGATTTTCAATCTCCCACCTCCTCCTCCTCCACCAAGTGTCGTCGACCCCCAATTTTTATCCAATTTTTCGATATGTATGTGTAGGCCGGTGTGCAAGAACGATTTACAGGAGAAGGGTGTTGCTCGCTGTAATCATGATTTATATCTACCCTGATCTGATCAGATCAGATTTTTTTCTTCTTCTTTTTTTTTTTTCAAATTTTTTATCTCACCTTCATTTTTTCTCCCTCTCTCAATCCACCTCGTTGTTGTTGTTGTTGTTGTTGTTGCCTCGTTGTATCGTGTCTCTGTCTTTACGGGGTTGCCAGTATCAGGCAGCCATTGGGGCCATTGCAATCAGAACGTGGACATGCAGATTTCAAGAATGAGAAAGGGCAAGCAATACCGTTATTTTTTTTTTTTTTTTTTTAAGGAATAAAAACAGTTGGGATGTCTAATTTTGTGAGCTAATGCCTAACCAATGTGTGTGCGCTACGATTTGAGGTATAAGTTATAGGAAGATGGTACGGTTCTGTTACATAACCATTCCGTCGAGGTTCGGAACCATTAGATCAACTATCCCGACGGTTACATAATGATCTAACGGTTACAAACCCCAACGAAATGATTTCATAACGGGACTGTAACATCTTCCTAAGTTATAACCCTAGGAAGTTTTTATGGTCAAGGTGGTTGTAATATAAAAAAATAAGAAACAAAATATTTTGTTTTGTTTTTATTTATTTATTTTACAAAGGTATATATAAACTATATATAATTTCAATAAAGTTTATGGTTTACATGTATATGTATTATTTTATAATTAAATATTTTATAAAATTTATATTAAAAATAGTTTGATACTATTTGTTAGTATCTATTTATACGAAATTTGGGTGTTAATAGTCAATTCTTGTCATGATAATCCATTATAGACACAATTCTTCCCAAATTCAATAATATTAAAGAAGGTCACATTTCCTTGAAAAATTCAATAAAATCTCTATCATTTTTCATTATAATTAGATTGGGCAACCAAATAGCTTCCCATATTTATAATACTATGCCCAATAGAGATCCCATTTCATATTTGATCACCAATAAATCTCTATCATTTTCCATTATAATTAGAGGCAAGAATATAGAGATGATGTTAGCTGTACAAGGTGCATTTTCTCAAATTTTATATCATAATTTTATACACTTATTTAATTTGTACAATTCTTAAAACCAATATGTGTATCATTTTTCATTATTTCAATCTTGATTCATCTAATATGTCAATTGATTTTACATATACGGTAATACCTTTCTCCACACTTCAAAAATTCAACATAATTTGTAACATGATTTTAACACAAAAAAAAAAATAAAAAAAATAAAATTGAATGACTAAATTTGGGTGATTTGTCCATGATACCAATATTCATTTAGTTGTGTTTAATTTTTATTTTATTATTTTTTATTTTAATAATAATATTAAAAAATTAATGTTGACACATTATGTTTTCTTATTTATTTTTCAAAGTGACTAATATTTTATTAACCTCTTAATGTAACACTTGTACAATTATGAACAACTTTATTTTCAATCACGAACAACTTTCTGTTCCCATATCTACCAAAATTTATTTTCAATCATGAACAACTTTCTGTTCCCATAATCCAACGTTAAGAGGAGGCAGGGCTTGAAAGTTTTGTGCTGCTGACAACAATGAAAAAATTGTAAAAATAAGAAATAACAAAATGATCTTTCGAGCACAAATCTCTTATATTAATGTCATAACCAAGGCCGTTAGTGCAGGTTTCGACAAACACATATCCATGATACACGATCTTCATCTGCACACTACATTCCATCAAGCCCGGCATAACAAGGTAAACTCTCAAACTTAAACATAAAACCATAACATTAACAAACTCACCAATAGATAATTTGGTTCTTTAATGAGAGAACACACAAGTGTTCTGAAAAAAGCAACAACTGAAGAAACAAAACAAACCAAAAGTAAAAAAAACAAGAATAAGATATGATGACATGCATCTTAAATCCAATCCCTTGTATCTATCTATCTAGGATGCACCTTCTTCCTCTTCACATGACAATTGCAATCATTGATAGTATTAGTAACACACCCCAATTTCCTCTTCATATCCCTCCACAGACTCATTCTCTTCCTCTTCCCACTCTTCCCACCACCAACCCCACTCTCTATCTCCGTCTTCATAACCCGACACTCCCTCTCCAGCTCCGACACCTTACTCCCCATCCTCTCCATCTCCACCTCCCTCGGAATCGCCTCCCTCAGCCTCAGCTGCACCGCAAACAGAACCTGCACCACCACTCTCACAGGCAGCCTCTCATTCCTCGCCGCGTGCTCGCACGCCTCCCCCGACAGCCTCCCCCACTCCACAACCCTGCACACCTTCTCCCTCTCCGACTCCGTCAGGTGCCTGTGCTTCTCCAGATACACATCCACTGCCCTGTAGATCCCATCCGATCCCCTGTGGGCCCCGGAAGCCACCGCCACCGCCATGTCAGCAATCTCCATAAATGTCCCTGTCCTGAGGTCTATGTCACCCGCTACCTCCGCTAGAAATTCCTCCACGAGCTCAGACACCGAGGCCAGCGGGGATGGGTCGCCACCTGTATAGCTGAAGTAGAAATTCTTCAGGATCCTCCGCACGCAATCCATGTCATACTTCTCGTCCCGCGCGTACCCGAGGCTCGGTATCAAGAGGTCGTTCACCGAGGCATGCTCGAGCTGCTTCCCCATCCGCATTTCGAGATAGTTCTTACACTCGTCGCTCGCATCCAACGCGATCGCGAATTTCAGCATTTCGGATAAGAAATCGCAAGGGACTAAATATGTGTGGTTATCAGGCAAGAGAGAAACCAGAGTCTCGATTATCTCCTTCCGGGCATTTGCCTCGTCATCAAATAGCCACGTTTTCGCGTACTGGCAGATACTTGCTGCCACGTACTCGTGGGGGACTTTTTTCTGAGTCATCGCGTGGAGCGTGGGTGCGTACAGCCTCAACGAGAGGGAGGTCAGGTCTTCGGTGCTGAAAAGCTTCCTCCTCGTGCATCGCCTGATTTCGCGGCCATCGTCGTCTTCATCTTCGGAAGTCAGTGGCGAGTCGTTGACGGGCTCGCCTAAGAGGCGTGGGTTTTCGAGGGCTTTTGAGATGAGGGACTCGACGCAGTAGTTTACGAGGCCGAGTTGGAGGGCCGGCTGGAGGACGGGCTCGGCTGATTTGAGGGCCGTGATGGAGTTGGCCCAGCTGGTGAGTATATTCTGCTGGAAGAAGGAGATGGCCTTGGCGAAGAGGTTGTCGGGGCAGTGGGTGTCGGTCATGCCAAGGTAGTGGGCCACGCACGCGACCCTAACCACGTTTTGGGTGGATATGGAAATGTCGAAGCCGTGGCAGAATCGGGCGACTATCTCCATGGTTTCGTGGTCGGCCGGGATGTCTTGGAGGAGGATGGAGAGGTCTGGCTGTGGAGTTTTCTGCAGTAATTTCCATATTTTGGAGGACTTGTGGGAAATACTTTCCTGAGTTTTGGACAGAGGAAGTTAGCTTTTTTTTTTTTTTTTTTTTTGCTTAAACAGAATTGTGGATTTAGTATGTTGGTTTTTATTTACCTTGTCCAGAGTGAAAAGTTTTCCACATAGATTGAGCTGGATCTCTGAGGTTAGTTTTGACTTTGGCCTCCTGTGTGAGAGGACAAATATTTGACAAGTCAAATTACCTCAAAACGGGAGATGCTACGGTCCTGTTACGGAACCATTCCGTCGAGTTTGTAACCGTTAGATCAACTATGCCGAACGGTTAAATGAAGATCTAACGATTACAAACCCCAACGGAATGATTCCGTAACGGAACTGTAGCATTTCCCGTTTGTTTGTTTGTTTGTGTGTGTGTGTTTTATTTGAATAAGCAGTAGATTTTACCAAGGTGGACATTCTGTTCCTCTTCTGGCTGCCATTTCATGATACTAACTTTACCACCCTGAGAACAACAAAAACTTTAAAAAAAATAAAAATAAATAATAATAATAATTAGATTATTTCATGAAAGAATTTTTTTATTTTTTTTTTATTAAAAAAAAAAAAAGCTAAAAAGGCCTCATTAGTAGCACATTGATTTTTTCTGGAATGCACATTCGAGTTTTGATTACAATTTTTTAGTGACTAACATTATAAAAAAAAGGTGCTAAAAAAGAGATCAAATTGAATAATTGCTCCATTTGAAACTATTAAATGATCATTTTCTACGAATTTATTTATTCGCAAAAAGAGAAATGTAACAACATATCAAATGAATATAAGAACCAAATCAAGAAGCATATTAATTAATTCAAACCAAAATGAAATAAAATCTATCTATCAAAAAATAATTATTGTTTTTATATATCTTTTCAATTAAGAATAAAAAAAAAATAAAAAAAATGAAGCAGACTGAAGAATAAAGGCGAGAAAGGAGAGAAAGAGACGTACCTTTTGGCGAGAGAAAGAAGTGAAAGTGTAGGTGAAGTGAGAATTGATTTTGGAATAAGAGGAAAATATATATTTTGTAGTTTGAATGAGTTCATTAGATGTTGCTATTAACATGGGTTTGTTAGGATAATGTGGGAGTTCAAATAAGATATTTGTTGACATTTTGTTAGGAGAGTTGAAGAATTTAAATTTAAATTTAAAAAAAAAAAAAATTGAATACTAATTAATTTCAATTCAGTGAGATTTTTAATTAATACAACTAAAAAAACTTAGCATTTTGTTTTTATTTTTATTTTTTTTTCCATTAAACCTCAAAATAAAATAAACCACCCGATTCTTTTGAAATCTTAAATACTCATTCAAATAGAATAAACATTCGAAGTGGTGTTTGTCAGAACATCTCCAATGTTTAAATGTTGTTGTGGTACAAATTTAGCAATGTCACAATTTTTCATCCTTCAACGTACAATGTGATCACAAATATTGTTGCGATGTGAACATAATTAATGTCTACAATGTATAGAAGAATGTGGTTCAATGAAGATAAGAGAGAGAACTATTCTTACCAATTCCTAACTATTTAATTATTTAATTAATTTTTTCACTACATATTATAAAATTTTAATATTTTCTGTAACCAACCTCTACCGACTAGCAGTAGTGATCAGCAAGGATCAAACCTGCATGAAGTGTGAAATTGAATTGCAATTTTTTTTTAATTGAAAAATAAAAGAATAATAATAAAGGGTCGGGGTGGGGGGATTTGGTAAAAATTTATTAACTACTAAAAATTAGAGAAGATTAAATTAAATTAAGTACATTAAATAAAAAATGAATTGATTAAATCAATAAGAAAGCTTCTAGTCCACGGTATTGACTCATCTAATCTATTCTTGTATCAAATTTCTTTGTTCACTAGCCCTAGATAACAACACGCTCTGCTACTCAAATTTTTCCTTATATTTTATTTAACCGAGTGACGCTCTTCGATTAAACATGAATTATGGGACAACCTAGAACACGCTCTCTAGATTTAATGCAATAGTCGCTTTAAGATCTAGAAAAATATGCTAGTCTAAGTAGTAGACACAACCACGCGGTTTACTTTATTAGGCCGTGTGATCCCCAACAGTTACAAGCTTTTTGTTGCTCCTTATTGAGCACAATAACATAAAAAATGATTCGAATTTCTAGCTGGATTTCCAAACTAATGTGTGGACTATAAATGGATTTAAATCTTCAAATCCAATTTTTTAAGCAAGTGATCACAAAATATAATTTTCCAACAATATTTTCATAATTGCTAAGTCAAACATTTGACTAATTTTTTTAGCTTTCCACAATTGATTTTACCATAAACCTCTTTCAATATACTAGTATAGTTCCCGTGCGATGCACTAGAGCATTTATTACCTATTTGTTTTGTAAAAGGTATTTTTTGTATTTAAATTGTCTCTTGGCATTAAAAACATCAAGAAAATAAAATTTATGTATTGTTGAACATTTTCTTACGTACAACATTTTTGGTTTGATTCTTTGGCCCGTAAAATATTACATGGGTGTTCGAATTTATCTAAAATTGTGTATTAGCTATTAATTTGTCAAATTTTACATGAGATCATTTCTTCACGTGATTGTGAATTTGTTTAGGAAATTTTAAATTATTTATGATCTACATATTTTTTTCTAAAATTAATTTAGTATTTATAAATAATAAAACAAAAATCAAATTGTACTCACATGTTGTAAATCGTATACATGTTGTAAATCGTGTAATTAGGTTAATAGAATGACTTTCTATATAAAAAAAGTGCTATCAATGTCGTGAACCATGTAATTAGGTTAATAGAACGACTTTTTACATAAATAAAGTGGTATCAATTTTAAAAATTATTTGTGATAGTTATCGCAATAAAAATTTGATTCTTCGTTTTAATACGAATCACTGGAATTTATTATTCTTTTGGTAACCAACCATACAACGTTCTAAACTAGGTTTTACCGAGATTTTGGTAAGTTCATATCAATATTGTTGTTAAGTTCATATCAATTTTTTAGGAAAGAAATCATTGCATAAATCTTAACAAAATATTCTGATTCTTTTATTAGAATTAATTTCAATTCAATTTGTTCGGTGAAAAAGTCGGTGCAATGTTAGGAAAATTCGGTTGCAATTTTAGAAAAATTTGATAATTCTTTTCACTTTGTTTTAACCAAATATTCGAATCAATTTGTTTGGTAAAAAAACCAGTGTATTGGTAGGAAAATTATGTTTCATTTTTAGGAAAAACTAATTATTTTTTTAAAATTTTCTTAAACAAAAATTTGAATTAGATTTTAAAAAAATAAAATCGCGTAGAACCCAAATTTGAATTTCTACTATAACATTAAAAAATTGATTCGAGTTTCTAGTTGGATTTTCAAACTAATGTGTGGACCATAAATAATTTTAAATCTTCAAATCCAATTTTTAAGCAAGTGATCACAAAATATAAATTTCCAACAATATTTCCATAATTGGTAAGTCAAACATTTGACTCATTTTTTTAGTTTTGATTTTACCATCAACCTCTTTCGTATATATAATATACTAGTTGCACGGCCGACTCAAATTTAGTCTAAAATCTAGTAAAAAGTTGTCGTCCCTTTAAATGATCAGTCGAATTTATATATATTTTTGAAAGTGTGCTTTCATAATATTTCATAGGTTTCAATAGTAACCGGATATCTATTTATTGTCTAGCACGAAGAAAATACCGGGGGAACGAAGGCATTCAAGAACTTGACATTGCCGCATGTTGTCCCGACATGGAGAAGTTTTCTGTTGGCGGGGCTCATGACCATTGCGGGGGAAAGAAAGTGTGTACGTTGGTGTGTAGAAAAGAATTAAGACGAGTACATAAAATCTCAAAAACAACATATAATGTAAAAATCAGATATACTTAGTTGATAAAGCAGAAATATGCTTTTTCACAAATGTGCAGCTCCTATAATTTGAAAATCAACCTACCACACCTATTTTTTTTTTCCATTTTCGACATAACATAATTACGTGAGCACTTCATGAAAGGGCGGGAAAAAGATAAAAGTAAAAAATATTAAAAAATTAAATGATGAGAAATTTCTTTTGTTCGTTATCGGAATGTAACGGAAGCAGTGGGCCGGCGGCGGATTCGTATCTTTGAGGAGTGAGACCCAGCGGCAGAGGAGGCGAGGTGGGGTTTGATTGCTGGAATAGGTGGAAATAGCAGTGGTACAAACGCACTGTCTTTTAACTTCCGGACAGGACCAGTGAACGGTAGCGACATACGGGTTCTCTCCCGCTTAAACTCACACGATCATCGGTTATAGAGAACTTATCCCCAATCGTAAATCTTGGACACAAATATGTCAAGTAAATAAAGGGTGTGGCATCTCATTCCGGGCAGTCTTCAACTTCTTGGCTTTTGCACTTTCAAAGCATGTGTTGGAATATTTTGGCTGTCCGTCATGAAAATGAGATCCCAGTATATCCCATTTTTCTATTAGCTATCCACTTTTATTGTATTGTCGGCCAATAAGCGGACAACGATCGAGCTTCCCTACATTGATGTCAGCATGAAAGTCACAAAAATAATACCATGGGGAATATCAGCATCTTTTCGGGTTCAGGGCAGTCGCCATCAGGAACACGAAAGTATACATCAATCCTTCAAACAAAGAATATTGCACCAAGAAATTATGTCTTCTCATCAGACAACATTCAAGAAATATAATCACCAAGTGAGTATATATTTGGCATCATTTCGCATCAAATTTCAAAGAAAGAACGTACAGAACTAATAATCATGGAAGTTAAAAAAATATACTCACCAAGAAACAAAAAAGAGCACAAGATAAGTTGTTCGGAAAGTTGAAAGTGTCCACTAAAATGTCTAAATTTCTGTGAGGTTATACGTGCATATGGAACCTAGAACTTCCAAGTGCAATTGGTATTCATCTCATTTTGAGATTTCCAAAGATTTTCTTAAGAAAATACTCAAAAGAATCTTGATTCACTTACTTTCGCTTTTGTTCTCCCACATATACTTACAACATATAACTTTGTCCAAAAAAATCTAAATTACGAAGAATTCATTGGCCAACCCATAACCCAATATTTTCCACAGTGCACTTAAGCAACAATCTGCTATACGCAGATTACGACGTTTCCCCTTCACTCTACAAACAAAGACTGTAAATGAACATTTTGAACTAACTTTATAAGTCATCAAGTTTGAAACTATAATTTTCAGAGAGTGTACAAAAGAAATCCTTTGCTCATAAACGGGCATTTTTATACACTGTACTTGACAATATCTAATATGCGGATTATATTTTGCACCTTCACTCAATAATCATAGACCAACTCATGATAAGTTATATTAACTCCATTTCGCGATAATAACTTCAACAGTGAGGAAAAAAAATACCAACCACACAATTTGAACTGCACATAGTACAAATGCAACATGAACGTTCGAAGAAAACTCGGGGAACACACAAACCTGTCCGACAACTGTTGCTGCTTGACCCGTGGTTTTCATCCCAAAGTGGATGACATAGGTTCAACGTGGCTGTATGACTTCCCACCAAGTTTGCATTAGACGCTATGCGCTGCAACGTACGACGGTTATCTCTCTTTACAGGGTTATGTGCAAAAGCTTAGGAACACACACAATTTGAACTGCTAGAGTACAAGCAGCATGAGCATTCAAACAAAACGAAGGAAAAACACAAACCTGTCCGGTGACTGCTACTTATTCACCGGGGTTTCCATCCAAAACTGGAGGACATGGGTTCAACGCGTCTGCACGACGTCCCACCAAGTTGGCGCTCGATGTTGTGCGCTGCAATATACGGCGGCCATCCCTTTGTACAGGGCCTATGTGCAAAAGCATAGGATCACACAATTTGAACTGTCTATGTTCGAA